AGTAGAGACGGGGTCTCGCTCTTGCTCAGGCTGGTTTCGAACTCCTGAGCTCAAACAATCCGCCTGCCTCGGCCTCCCAGAGATATTTCTATTTTTTATGCCACCCAGTTTGTGGTATTTTGTTATGGCAGCTCTGGCAGACTAATGCACCAGTAATCCAACTTCTAGGAATCTCTCCCCAGCATCAACTGACAAGCATACAAAATGATACACACACAAAGCCATCTACTGAAGCACTATTTAAAATAGCAAAAAGTAGGAAATAAACCCAACTATGGTACATCTACACAATGAAGTACTATAAAAATAAAAAGGAATATAAGAATGTCTCCATATTCTATTACAGGTGATCCCCATATTAGTATGTAAAAAGAAGCAAGATGGAGAAAGGTGTATTGCCACCATTTTTCTAAGAAAGCAGTAGGATATATATATATATATGTGTGTGTATTTTTAAAAGGAAGGAGAAATAGTAAAAATAAAGCACATAAAGTTATCTATAGGGAAAAGAGGAGAACACAGTGGAAAGGACAGGGACCAAAACTAGATTTTTCTAAACATACCTTGTTTGCTAGATTTGACTTTGGAGCTATGTACATATTTTACACAAATAAAAAACAAAATTAAACTTAAAAAAAGCAATTCCTTGGCTTGAACAACATACTGAGATCTTGTCTCTCAAAAAAATAGAAAAACTAGCCAGTACTTTAAGTCCCGGCTACCAGGGAGGCTGAGGCAAGAGCATCACTTGAACCCAGGAGTTTTTTTTTTTTTTGAGACAGAGTCTCACTCTGTTGCCCGGGCTAGAGTGCCATGGCGTCAGCCTAGCTCACAGCAACCTCAAAGTCCTGGGCTCAAGTGATGCTACTGCCTAAGCCTCCCGGGTAGCTGGGACTACAGGCACGTGCCACAGTGCTCAGCTAATTTTTTCTATTTTTAGTTGTTTGGCTAATTTCTTTCTATTTATAGTAGAGATGGGGTCTGGCTTTTGCTCAGGCTGGTCTTGAACTCCTGAGCTCAAGCAATCCTCCCGTCTCGGCCTCCCAGAGTGCTAGGATTACAGGCGTGAGCCACCACGTCTGGCCTGAACCCAGGAGTCTGAGGCTATAGTGAACTATGATGCCGCCACTGCACTCCAGCCTGGGCGACAGCGCAAGACCCTGTCTTAAAAAGAAAAAGAAAAAAAAAAACAAGCAATAAAGCAATTCCTAAAAATCAAAAGCAAAATGAGAAAAATGAATCTAACTATGTATTTACTTGGTTACATAACCAAGTAAGAATCATTTCAATTTACTAAATAATCTGGCCATAGTTTTAATAGTTTCCAATGGGAAACTGTTAAAGAACAAAAACACCCCCGCAATTCTTAGAAAGATTTTCAGTTATCATATTGTTACAGATAATATTGGTATTGCTATTCTTATACTGTTGTGTTGTGGGATCAAGTAAATGAGTAATTATCATGGTACTATTAAGAACTGAGGTGTTCAGGGTAAGGAAAAGAAGATATAAATGTAAGATTGATGAGGTTAAATGAAAACTCTAAATTTGAATTGGACATCTGAGTATGAAGAACTCATAATATATTTAATCTTAAGTAAATAGACAAATAAATAAATACTCCCTAGTTCTATCTACTGAAAAAGCCTAGAAAAAATGTCCAGTCAGTAGCAATGAACACTCCTGGTACCCAGATTGTGGTCTCTAAATACCATTTCCCACTAAAAGGAATAAGGGCTCCTTAGAGAAGGAGCTGATTTCAGATCTTGGGAAGAAACACGGAAGATAAGCCTGGGATATCCTGCCACACTACAGAGTAAGACAGCTATCAAAGACTACTAAGGTTAAGTCAAAAAGGACTCAGGCAGCAACTGGAAGAGGCTCTCGAAGGCCAATAGTGGGTCAGTTTAAATATAAATAAGAAAAATAACTGCAATTGATTAAAACAAAAAAATCAAATGTGTTACAATCTATGAACTCATAATGATACTTAAAAAAAGGAAGAAGGAGGATGCTAAGAAACCAACTAATTATACCAAAATCTAGTAAATAAAAAGAACTAAGCATTTAACCTGGCTTTTCTATATCAACTAAATTTCAAGGTGACCTAATAATTTATAAGAAAAAACTTGCTTTATGTAAATATTCCACATATAAATGAAAAATAAATGACATAATTAGAATATCAAACCCCTAATGTACATAAATGTGAACAATATAAAGTCGTAATAACAATGTCTAGTGGGATTGAAAAACAAAACAAAACAAGATAGACTTAAAATTCTAGATAAAAATTGGAGTTGGGACTAGATAAATGGAGTCAAAGTGTATTACCTGGGAGGAGGGCAAAGGTTTTGATGGAGTTTACATTTTGATAAGCTAATTACACATGTGTAATTTCTAGAATACAAGAATACAAACAGAATAACTAAATTCCAAACTAATACAGGGAGAAGAAGAGAATAAGAAAAATTCCTCAGTCAGGTCCTTAAAAAAAGGAAGCAAGAACTATAAAAATTTTAAAAAAGGAAGAACATAAATTTTTTTTTTTTAAAAAAAGCAAGCAAGGAAACAGAACAGGTGAGAGAAATAGAAAACATACAATAAGATGGTAGAATTAAACTCAAATATATCAACAAACTAAATGCTGAGGGTAAATATCAAGGATGGTCAGGATGGATTAAGAAAAACAAAATCCATATACATGTTGTTAGAAGACATGCAGCTAAGCCATAAAGCTAGAGAAAGGCTGGAAATAAAAGGATGGAAAAAGACATAGCATAAAATACTAGCTAAAAGGAAAGCAACGCAGCTATATTAATGTCAAACAAAATGGACTTCATAGCAGTATATATCACCAAGGAAGAAAGATCACTTTATAAGGATAAACGGTTCAATTCACCAGAAATATACAAAAGACTTAAAGAATATGATTAACCAACTTAACCCAATGGATATATCTAGAATAATGAACCCAATGTTTGCAGATTAACATTCTTTTCAATATACACATGGAATTTCACTGAAATTGAGCATACACTGACCCAAAAAGCAAGTTGTAGCACAAAGGACTGAAATCATACAGGATGTTATCTAACCACATACAATTAAGATAGAAATCAATAATAAAAAGATAATAAGAAAACTCATACATGTTTGGAAATTAAGATATACATATCTAAGTAACCCATGGATTAAAGGAGAAATCAAATTCTTAAAAATAAAAGATAATGAAAAACACACATGAAAATTTGTGGGATTCAAGTAAAGCAGTATTTAGAAGTAAATTTGTAGCCTAAAATGTACACATTAGAAAAAGCTGAAAAGTCATACTTTTCAGCTAAATATATCAGCTAAATATATCACAAAAAGTTAAAATAGAAAACAAACCTAAACAAAGTTGAAATAATGAAAGAATAAAGGTAAAAGCGGAAATTCATTATACAGAAAACAAACATACACTAGAAAAGATCAATGTCAAAGATAATTTTTTGGAGCAACAATAAAGTGGAAGGGTTTGCTTTGCTAATATCAAGGATTTTTATAGATCCAGTGAGGTGGCTCACACCTATAATCCTAGCACTCTGGGAGGCCCAGGCAGCAGGATTGCTTGAGCTCAGGAGTTCCAGACCAGCCTGAGCAAGAGTGAGACCCCATCTGTACTAAAAAAAAAAAATAGAAAAATTAGTGGCACACGCCTTAGTCCCAGCTACTCGCGATGCTGAAGCAGTAGGATCCCTTGATCCCAGGAGTTTAAGGTTGCAGTGAGCTATGAAGATATGATGACACCACTGCACTCTAGTTGGGGCAACAGAGCGACACTCGGTCTCCAAAAAAAGGAATTTTTATAAAGCTACAGTAATTTAGACAGTATGGCAATGGCATAAGGACAAAGACCAATGGAACAAAGTAGAGCCAATAAACAGAACCATATGTATAGGACACTTGACCTATGACAAAAGTGGCAATGGGCAAAGGTCAAATCTTTTCAACAGATGATTTTGAATTAAACTTATATCAGTATGGTGAAGAAATCTAAGTGTAAAAGGAAAAACAATAACTTTTAAGAAAAGAATGTAAGAGAATATCTCCATGACATTAGAGATAGACAAAGAGTTCTTACACAGGACACAAAGAACACTAACCCTAAAGGAAAAGGTAAAGATAAGTTGAATTACATTGACATTAAGAACTTTCATTGATCACAAGACACCATTATTAAAGGAGAAAAAAGGTAACCCACGGACTGAAAAAACGTTTTTGCAAAAGACTTGAATCCAGAATACATAAAGGACTTATAAAAATCTGCAAGAAAAAACTGACAACCCAATAGAAAATGGTCCAGAGACTTAAACGAAAATTTCCAAAGAGGATACACCAATAAGACAGCAGGGAGGAGAGTTCAATAAACAAATGCAAAGGTTTTTAAACTCATGAGTAATAATGGAAAAATAAAACACCAAAATTGACAACAGCAAGTGCTGGCAAGCATCTCATAAACTGCTGGTAGGAGTGCACAACGGCTTTATTATTAACTAAGTACTTGTTCTACCAGATACGAAATCACTGTATTTGTCAATACTGGCAATCAGCACGGGTAGAGACAAATAGACAAATAAAAGTAGAGAAAGAGACACACATATAAGAATACTTGATATACGACAGAGAATTAGAAACTGGTGAACTTTTCAATAAATGGTGTAGGAACACCATTTATTTACATGGGAAGAAATGAAATTGGCCCCCTACCTCACACAGCATATATAAATTAATTTCAGATGGATTACAAATCTAAATATAAAAGGCAAAATTATAAAGCTTTTGGAAGATAATATAGGAAAATATATCTTCATGACCTGGGGTAGAGGAGAATTTCTCAAGACCTAAAAAAGCATTAACCATAAAGGAAAAGACATATAAATTCAACTACACTAAAATTAAAAATTGACCTGTTCATCAAAACACACTATCAAAAAAGTGAGGAGATAAGCCAGAGTGGGCGAAGACAGTTATAATATACATAATGATAATGTATGTGATATACAGAGTATATAAAAAACTTCTACTTCTCATTTTTCTCCTTGAACCTTCTCTTTCAATGAGAAAAAGGTAAGCAATCCAATTAAAAAATAGGCAAAAGATTTCAATAGCACTTCAGAAAAGAAGTCCAAATTACCAAAAAAAACATAAAGAGTATTCAATCTTATTAGTAATCAGGGAAAATACAAATTAAAAACATAATGAAAGATCACTACGCAGTGCTGAGATTAGCCAAAAGGGAAAAACAAAACTAAGCTTTGGTGAGATCTGGGGCAATGGGAAGTCACACACTCCTGAAGGAGTGAAAACTGGTACAGTTACTTTGGAAAATAGTTTAATATTATCTTGATGCTGAAGTATGCAGTTCTTATGATCCTAATTATATATCCAAGAGTGATGTGTAGTTATGTGTACCATGACATATGTGTAAGAATGTTCATGTTAGTACTGTTCAAAATTGACCCAAAGTGTAAACAATCCAAATGGCCATCAAGAGTAAAATCTAGGCCGGGCGCAGTGGCTCACGCCTGTAATCCTAGCACTCTGGGAGGCCGAGGAGGGTGGATCGCTCAAGGTCAGGAGTTCAAGACCAGCCTGAGCAAGAGCGAGACCCCGTCTCTACTAAAAATAGAAAGAAATTATTTGGACAACTAAAAATCTATATAGACAAAAATTAGCCAGGCATGGTGGCACATGTCTGTAGTCCCAGCTACTTGGGAGGCTGAGGCAGTAGGTTGCTTGAGCCCAGGAGTTTGAGGTTGCTGTGAGACAGGCTGACGCCACGGCACTCTACTCTGGGCAACAGAGTGAGACTCTGTCTCAAAAAAAAAAATAAAAAAAGAGTAAAATCTATAAGGAAACTGGAGTGCATCCTTAGATTGGAATATTGTACAACACTGAAAATAAAACTATATTCATCCACACCCAACTACATGGATAAATCTATATGAATTTTGAAAAAGCAAGATGTAGTTTTATCTTTCTCTTTTTTTTTTTTTTTTTTTTTTGAGACAGAGTCTCACTCTGTTGCCCGGACTAGAGTGCCGTGGTGTCAGCCTAGCTCACAGCAACCTCAAACTCCTGGGCTCAAGCGATCCTCCTGCTTCAGCCTCCCAGGTAGCTGGGACTACAGGCACACGCCACCACGCCTGGCTTATTTTTTCTATTTTTAGTTGTTTGGCCAATTTCTTTGTATTTTTAGTAGAGACGGGGTCTCGCTCTTGCTCAGGCTGGTCTCGAACTCCTGAGCTCAAATGATCCACCCGTCTCAGCCTCCCAGAGTGCTAGGATTACAGGCGTGAGCCACCGCGCCTGGCAAGATGTAGTTTTATGTATACATTTTTATAAAATTTAGAAGCAGCCAAAACTAACCTATATTGTTTAGGGTAAATACATAGACCACAAAACCAAAAAGAAAAGCAAAAGAAATTATAACTTTAAACCAGGCATTAGGCAATAGTAGTCCTTACTACTAAAGACTATTTAACAACATTCTGTCTTTTGTTCAGGTGATGGCTACATGGGTGCTCACATTATCATTATTTATTAACTATACTTCTAAATTTTTCTGAATATATGTCATATTTCACAATGAAAATGTTAGACAAATTATTAGAAAATATCTCCAATGCACAAAATGGTATAGATAATATAATGTTCATCTGTGTACCACCATCCAACAAGAAAAACATTAAAAATACAGTTGAAGGCCCATCTCCCCATTCCTCCCTTTCAGAAGTAATTACTATCCTCAATTTGGTTAAACTCAAAATTTTAAGATAGGTTCTACTTCAATCTACACTAATAAAAGTGATCTAAAAAGTACCAAGTATATTGATGACATAGTGACCATGGGCTTGTTTTTCTGGTTTAGCATGGTATATCCTCTTTCTAAGTATTAAGTACTGTATCTACTTATTCAACCCACTATTGGACTTTGGATTTAGGCTAGTTAGCCACGGGGGGAAAAATTGCCAATCATAATTGTAACATAAAACAATGCTTACCTACATGTGTTTGTGCAGCAAAATGTAGTACTATATCTATTTTCTCTGTTTCAAAAAGCAGTTTCACAAAGTGAGAATCACATATGTCACCCTATATGAAAAAGCAAACATGAAAAAGCTAAGTTTCACTGACACTATCATTCATAATAACCATTTTTACTATAACATCCCCTACTTCCCACTGCCTGGTTTAATAGAGAGTATCTTGAAAATTCAACCAAGTGGTTAAGCAGGTATATTAATGATGTATTTCTGTAGCACATTAAGATATTAGATATTAAATTCACAATATTTTTTCAAATAAGTATAAACAATATTTTATTGAGCACCAACTACTACTAATTACTGTAATAGTTTTTTCATAACATTTTTGCCAACCTAAGGTCACTACATTAATGGAAAAATTTTTTCATAATTTAAAAAAACCTTTGAGATAACCGTTATTGAAATATATTTAAAGTAAGCATAACGATTGGAATGACATTTTTTAAAACATATTTTACCACAACTAAGTAAAATTATGGTAATTTTGATGCTTATATGTACATTTAATTCTTCTAAAATATATACTCTCAACATTCTTCTATAATGAAGAAAATATTTTCATGCAGAAGAACAGAATTATGAAATGGTTGCTTAGTATATTCATTAAGTTTTGTGGTTAAAAAGAGAGCTACAGAATCACCTTCTTAAAAAAATATATAAATTACAAGATAAAGTTTCATTTAGAGTAACATTTCCCGTGGAAATTAAGGAACTGGCCCTGTGGTTTATACTTTGGACTTGTCTAAGAGCGATTTGTAAGAATCAGACTTCCAGAGTCATTCAGCCTTCACAGGGGAAGACCATCCTATGAGCTTCTTGATGGGCTTTTGGCTGACCTCATAGAGTAACACCCCAATTACTTCAAATCCAGGAAGGCCTTATTAAAGAAGCTTATGAGGACCTAAACTTACAAACCATATAAATTCAGTTAGCTACTCATAGAGCTGCCAAGGTACCAAAAATCACAGGTAACTTTTTATTAACACACGGTGTCAACCAAAAATAGTATTCTCCAGAACACATGGTACTTCTGGAAATTAATTCCCTGATCTTTTAAAAGATCTTTAATAAGTGTGCCTTCCAAGCCCATATTACATAAATTAGTAAAGTAGAAAGATATTAAAATTTCTAAAGAGGCACAGTTACAATAATTATAAGAAAATTTCCATACCTGTATAAATTTGTAGTTTTGTTTGTTAGAAACGGTTTCAAGATTCTTCAAGCTTGCACAATAATCCAGCTTAAATTAAGAAAGTACGGTGAGGGGCAACACAAAAAGTGATATTAGCTTTTCCTATAAAATACCAATTTATCTTAAATATAGATGTTAATGACTATTGTACAAGAACACGTCCTCTTAAAGTATGTTTGTTCTGTGTTTTTATAAAGTTTCTGACATCTTAAAAGTAAAAAACAAGTAATTTTATTACCTTTTCAAAGAAAAAAAATCCCAAAAACATTTTTACAAATTTCTACTTTAAAAAATGTTCCTGCCCAAATTTTCTTCCAGCCACTGGTGGCTACAATAGTTTAACATTCCTTACAGAAAAGGAATTAGTGACTGAAAATAATTACAGCTGTGTTATGCATATTATAACTAATTATGCCTGCTCCTCAGTTAATTCTTGGTTAATCAGTGTACAGATGGGGGAAAAATCCCTGTCCATAATAGTAAGGCAGGCAAAACTTTATACGTGTTAAGGGTTATTCTTTGCCTGTACATTTTCACTATTATGTTTTATGAAACTGCGGTAACCATTTTCATCTTCTGTTTAAAGTCAAAAATCTAGTGATTACCAAACATGGCTTTCAGATTATCCAGGGAGACTCCAATTATTAGTGCAATATTCTCACAACGAAATTAATTTAATTGAATTTAGATTTAAAAATAAATATATAATTTTCCAAGAAGTGGCAGTTATAAAATCAAATAGTTAAATAATCCAAGTATCCTAAAACCAAAATGATTAATAATCATATTATACTAAATATCGGATTTAGAAAAGGTAAAGGTTTTTTGGTTTTTTTTTTGGTAAAACTATTGCACTTAAAATCTTTACTTTATGGACTAGCATAACAAATGGAAGTTTTAAAAGATTTTATATAAGATTAAATACAGCATGAGCACATGACTATATAGACCCCTAAACTGCTAAGATGACTAAATAAAAAACTAAAATAAGAACATGACAGGATTCTAATACTTTTTAAAAATGTAATTAAATTGAAGTGTAATTTCAGTGCATGAAGCTCATTTTTATAAAACTCACCTTGTCTAGATTTATGATCATATAGTTTGGATAATCTTCTACTAAAGAAACAATCACATGGGATGCACTATAAGAAAAAAGTATATCTTAGTAGAAAACTTTAACCTCCCTAAATTCTTTAATGTCTTCCTAAGCTGTTTCAGTATTAGGAAGATATACAAAGGTAACTTTAAATTTTCCCAAAATAACAGAAACAACATAGCTACATTGAATACACACACACACACACACACTTTTCACCAAACTTCTCAATAGTATCTATAAACAACATTTCATACTCTCTTTAAGACTACATAGAAGAGAGGACTTACTGGTTCTGGGTATAAGGAAAACAATTAGTTTAAAATGACACTGTCCATGAGTGCTTTGAGTGTGAGAGTACAGCAGGATGATAAATATATTGGGTGCTAGTCAGTGCAACTGTACTAAAACTACAATGTGCCTTTTCAGAAATTACAGGTAGAATTATGTAAAAATTAAATGAGCATGGTCAGTTATTTATGTTTATATTAACTTCCCCAACTGCTATCTCTTGGTACAAGAATTTTGTGGTGTAAACCAGAATCCTCAGGAGAGTCCTAGGCTGAAGCCAGGTTTCCCAGGCTAATAACAGCTGAAATCATCCTTAGTTGGGTATCCAAGGTGGCTCCTGGGCTTCAAAAGGGCCCTGAAGGGGAACCAGAGGCATACCTCAGTAAGACGATCTAGCAGATTTTATCACATATACTTAAAATGCTGGGCTCCCAGGAGTCAGAGGAGTAAGGGCACCCTTAGACCAAATTATGAACTCACCGTTTATATGTGACAATCCTTTCACAGCATTTTCTAGGCTGCACCCTTCCTGCACCAGCACTCTCAAGTACTACCCTTTCATGCCCATGCTCCACTCCTCATTAAATAAACCTTGTGGCCAAATACTCTCAGCCAAGTGACTGTCAGACTAGAAAGGGTGATTTAATGTGCTAATGGGCACTAAACAAGAATCCCGGAGAGTTTCCTGTTTACTACTCTTGCGTTCATCCATTCAACAATTACTAAAGTAAAGATCTTCATAAACTGGACCACACCTTCTTCAAGGTGCTGAGTGAACAATTGTCTCTGCCTCCATGGAGTTTACATTCTAGAGTGGGGATGTAGACAATTAACAAGTAAGCACAAATAAGCAATATAATTTCAGGTAGGGATAAGTGTGTTAGTTGGGAGAGGTATACTGTTTTAGATAGGGTGGCCAGCTAAGGCCTCTCTGAGCGGGTGATAACTGAGTAAAAACCTGAATTGAGTGGTGCAATCAGCCTAAGCAAAGGGGAAGCAAGTACAAAGGCCTCAAGACAAGAAGAGGAACTAGGTGGTGTTCCAAGAACTTTAAGAGGGTAAATACGGCAGGTACAGAAAAGAGATCAGGTTGCCAAAGTAGGGCACTTGAATCTTTTAGATATGGTAAAGAGTTTGGATTTTACCTTAAGTTTGACAGGAAGCACTGGAATAAAATTCTACACATTAACATGACCTGATTTACTTAATAAACTGACTTCTGTGTGAGGAACAGACTTTAGGGAACAGTGCGACCAACCTCGAGGCTACATCAGTAGCCTAAGCAAAACAGGACGGTAACATGGGCTAGGGTGAGAAGTGGTCGCCTTAAGGATATATTTTGGAAGTAGAAAAAGAGGACATGCTGATCTAACGTGGGTGTGGGAGAGGAAAAGGTGTCCAACAGTGGATTTTTAAAAGTTTGTTGAACAAATGAATGCCCTATTATAATGCCAAAATCATTCTGGGGGTACCTATATTAACTAGGCCTTTGCATCGTGGGGCCGGGGGTCTTGGCTGGGAGTGAGAAGCACTCAGTGAGAAGCTTACTGTAATGTGTCACTCAAGGAGTGACTGGTGGTAAGCATCTCAGGCCATAGGAGGGCAGACAGTACCACAACACTCTTGCTTTGGGAGGCAGGTGTTTTAAAGAAGTCGCAGTTTCAAAGGAACCACGTCTTCGCAGGCCAGGAAGAGAGAAGGTTGGATAGTCCCAGTTGTACATTAGGACCTCTCCCCATATCATATCCTCCAAAGCTAGACCTAAATTGTCAAGGGCAAGCAGAGTTGCGAGAATAAGTAGGGGTTTCTAGAGAGCCACTACTCGGCTAGCGGCGCCATTACGTACATGAAACCAGCACCCCCGGTCACCAGGACCCGCTTCGCAAAGCCCGCCGACATCTCCCAGCTCGGCACTGCCTAGCACCGGAAAGTGCCAAGTTTGCAGACCGTAGGGAAGTCCCACCGCGACCTTTTGCGACGCGCCTCGTTCGCCCGACACGTCAAGAGCGCAGTCAGCGGCAGCTTCCGGAGAGTGGCGCTGCAGCGAGTTTGTCCCCACCCACTGGCGGGCTGGGCGGGGCCGAGCAGCACCACCGCGCAGGCGCAGCTCCGCTCCGCCCAAATCTGGTCTGGTAGGAGCAGTTGGAGTCGCCGAGCTGTTTGGTCTGGATCGTTTTCCCAGCAGGTGTTAGCATGGATTAGATTTTATTTAGATACACAGAAAGTCAGAGTTATTCATGAATGAGTATCTCTTTCATTCGCGTACTACAGCCATCTCCAGAAGTTACGCACCTGTTGAGCTGAGAACTCCGATGAGTTCTCCTCTTGTAGTGTAAAAATGGGAGGTTGAAATTGCAAAATGATCTTTCGCTGTTAATATTATTACAGACCAGCGCAAGCTGCTTGCAGTCTTGCTAAAGATGTTCCCTCGATACTACTACCCTTAGATCTTATCCCGCTATTCTCCCTTTGCTCTCTCTGCCCGGGCCTCCCGGGCCTCTTTGCCCTTCCTTGAATTCGCCAGGCACGCAACTTCCTGGGGCCCTCATGCCCTTTCCCCAGATGTGTGTCCAGTTTTTACCTTTACTTCCGTTCTCAGCTTGAATATCATTCTATTAGAGAGTCCTTTCTTGACCATTCCAATTAAAATAGCAAACTTTACCCAGCCCTGCCCAATCATCTTACCCTTTGTTTTTCTTCATAGTACTTATCAACATTTACGTTGATGTAATTGCTCATTGTTACTGCTCCATGAGGGCGGGGGTTTTGTTTTCTGCTATAATCCCAAGTCCCTAGGACCAGGCCTGGCACAGAATAAACAGTCAGTAAATTTTGTCAAATAGATGACTAAATATCTTTCTTTTTTCACATAATGTTTTGGCAAAGGTTAAAAAGAATGGAAATGCCCAGTACAGGTATGTATGTGGAGGTGTCATGTTACAATCTTTTTAAAGGGCAAAGTGATATATATGAAAATTTCAAATGTGCATACTCTATGACCCCCAAATTTCATGATGTATAATATAGATAATTGTTCATTGGTATATTGCTTATAATGATCAAACTAGACACGATCTAAATGTGTATAATACAGTCTCACTTTTTAAATGCAATGGAGTGTTATACAGCTTTTAAAAAGAATGTACCAGCATGGAATAAGGACCAAAATACTGTATCTTGTAGTTGATGCTTATGGTTTTTTCTGACCAGACTGCCCCATCCTTTATGATATCCCCAAGTTGACCCACCCCAGGCAGGCCACAGGATGGAATCTGACTCATCCTAGGCCCATTGAAGCCTCTTCTTGGGATTTAGAAGTGGACTAAAGGTTTTAGTATAGTCTGGTTGCTCTTTTTGAACTGAGCCCCTACAAAGTTGGGACTTGGTGGTGGCCATGTTCTTGCAAATGAACTGAAGAGCCAAAAAGCCTACCTTCAATGAGAGAAAACAAAGTTGATCAAAAAGAGAAGATGAGAGATAGAAGGAGAGACCTAACAGCATTCGAGGCCTGTGTTGTGGTTTTTCCTCAGGACCAATTTTATTCCTGTCCTTGGTTTACAAATACCACATATATTTGTAAAGGCTTGTCTGAGAGGATCCACCCTAAACTATTAACAGGGATTACCTCTGGGTATCAAATATGGCAGGGAAAGGAGGTAATGGGGACATTAATTTTTACTTCACACATTTTTTCTTTCTTTCTTTTTTTTTTTTTTTTGAGACAGTGTCTTACTCTGTTGCCTGGGCTTGAGTGCAGGCCTCCTGAAGTGCTGGGATTACAGGTGTGAGCCACCACGCCTGGCCTTTGTACGCTTTTGACTGAATTTTTTTCTGAGTCACGTGGATTACGTTTATAATATAAAAAAGTGCAATTTTTAATAAATCCCTAAATATTAATACCTCCAATGTATTCCAGGTCAGCCAGAGACACTGAAAATGCTGGGTATGTGATAGGTGTTCCCAAGATTTTTTTTTCTAAATGGTGAGGTCTGTCGTGAAAACTTGCTTATATGTTATAAAAGCGTGTTGTTGAATGAAAATAATTTATATACATTTATTCATGAAATAATTTTGAGCTCCCACTTTCATCAAGACAGGTATAGTCTCTGACCAGCTGTAGGGGATTCAGATAAAGCAATAGACATTTATGATACAGTGGGCTAATTGCCCTGGTAGGGAAGTAAGGGTTTCCTGTTCCCGGGGCATCTAATACACACTGGGGGGGAGGGGGGTTGAGGATGCCTTCTTAAAAGGCCTTGGGAAAGAGGAGCAAAAGAAGAAAAGGAAAGTGAGGTGGAGGTTGAGGGTAGAATAAGCAGTATTCCAGCCAGAGTGAACTGCCAGCATACAGGCCTAGAGGTGAGAACTCGGAGTGTTCAGCCAGCTGACAGTGGTAAGGATGGAAATAAGAAGTTAAGGAATGGAAATGTGAGAGACTTGAGAGCCTTATTCTACAGAGTTTGGGTTGTGTGCTAAAAGCCTTCCAGAGCCTTCGAAGGAAAGTGATGTAGTCAAATTGCTTGTCCTAAAGCTTTCTGTGGCTCTAGGGTAGAGATGGACTGTGGCCAATTAGAATTAGGACTGGAGGCAGGTCTTGCCCTGGGCCAAGAAAATGATGGCTTGCATGGGATTGTGCCTGCGGCTTCCCCACAGCACCAGAAGAGAGGCCAACCCACATTTGTAATTGAATCATTGAATCGATTGACTGTGAGGACGTCGGGAAGAGAGATCCCGAGAATGCCCAGCTGTCTGGCCTATTGGGTGGTATAATTCAAGAAGACAGGGAACCTAGGAGGGAAAAATCGGTTGGAGGTGCCAAGAGAAGTCATGGGTTAAACTTTCGACATGCAGAGTTAAAGGACTTTGAGACATTAAAGTGGGCATGTCCGGTAGGTTATACAAGCACTGAGTTAGAAAAACTGAGTAAGCCCATGGTTCTTGGCTTTGAGGGAGTTTTCCTCTCTTAACCAGAAATGGTCCCATCGTATGTTTCTTAGTTTTTAACGAACCCAGAGTCTCTCAAAGGCCCCACGGACCAGTGCCTGCGTGTCCGCGCATGCGTAGTGGCATGACGCGCAGAGACAAGGAGCGCGATAATTTTTCCGTAAACTGAAGCAACATCCCCCTGATTCCTCATTAAAAGAATAAAAAAGGGCGGGAACTAGCCGAAAGACAGGGGAATGATGGGGCGCTCTGATCTACCGTCCCGCCCACTTCGGCTTCTCATTGGTGAATATCCTTGGCTCGTGGCGGAGGAGCCCGCTTGATTGGTTTTCAGTCTCCTAGAGGTGGGTCCGCTGTGCCGACCCCGCCCCCCAGCTGCCGACGTGGGGCCGGCAGTGCAGGCAGATAGGAACCCGGGTGTCCGCCCGGAGGGTGAGGCGGCGATGGGGGGGCTGCGGCTCCTAGCGGTGGCCCTCACGTGCTGCTGGTGGCCGCAGGGCGGCCAGGCTAAGACCCTGAGGGGCAGCTTCAGCAGCGCCGCGGCCCGAGACTCTCAGGGCCAGAGCATCGGCCACTTCGAGTTCCACGGTAGGTCTGGGGGCGGGGAGAGGGATGGAGGCGCGCGGGCCCATCCTGCCGGCCGGCCCCGGGCCGCTCCTCCCCGCCTCCCAGGGAAGGCCTGGAGCCGGCGGCGCCCGGCCCCGCCCCGCCACGTTGGGCAAGGTCAGCGACTTCACCGGCCTCACTGGGACTTTCAGCGTTGCCGCAGCCTTCTCCCCCCAGCGTCTGCCCGGAATCGTGGGGTGCGTTTATTGCCACCTCACTGTTGCTGCTTCCCAGACCCTTGGCAGCAGCCTCTCGCGATTAGTGATTGTATTCTGCGCCTGAAAGCCCATTTCCACAGCCCCCACCCTCTCCATGCAAATATACAAATAACTGGTCTGCTGCATCTTTCAAGATCCTTCCCCCAAAGCTCGTTTGCTCCCTTCTGTCTCGGCCAGATTACGTACACCGAGGTACTGTAGTTTCGTGTGAATTTAAGCTCAGGAACTTAGATTTCCTGTTTCTTTTTGTTTTTAAGATCAATTTGATAAAAACGTACTTGTAGCAGAGGGGTTTTGGAAACCAAGTAAAACACCCGATAATATAGTTGTCATTACTGACAATTCGGTTACTTGGCCACTAGTACAGTACTTTACTAGACCATGAGGCCTAGAATGAAGTTGATGGAAATGCATGCAAGTAGCGACCTGGAAGCTTCTGAAAGCAGAGCTACATTTGGTCTTCCTTTTGTTCTTCCTCAAAAATCAATAATTATTTCTTAAGTGAATTTGCAGTCTATTCTAATTTGGTCTCATTTATTTATACTGTCAAAATTTAAATGTTTTTCTTGGTGCATCCTCTTGGTACTCTTTATTTGATTAGTGCTAGATTTCCAATAATGATTTGCCTTGATGGGTTTAGGATCTTTGCTTTATGCAGTCTTTAGTATTGGAAGATGTGACTGTGAAGAACAGAATATTGGCCTAGAAAGGATTCTTAAGAGAAGATGATATAAACTAGAAGCTATTTGGGGATGGAAAAGGAGTTTAAAGTTTTGGGAAATTACAGAATTGATAGTATAAAGGAAGGGGAACCTGATTTTTTTTTTTTTAATCTGAAGTTTTTAAGATAGCTGAGAAAAGAGTATAACCCAGTTTTTCAAAATCTAATGTGGAACATCCCTTGTGTGAATGAAGAAGAAACACTTTTATTATTATTTTTTGGTCAAATTTTCAGTTTCTTAATTGCCTATAACCATACTTTGAGTATAGACAATGATAGTAATGTCACTACAGTAAATGGCATAATCTGGACAGTGCTGGAAGATCTGGGATGTGTGGAAGCTGTTATATACTCATGACCAGCAAGGAGACTTAGACAACTCTGATAGTTCATGATTACCTGGTAAACATCGAGGAGAAACATCTACTAAGGCCAGATTTCTCAAGACAAATTGGGGATAGGGTGCTTTAAGTATATTCATTTTCTCTCTTTCTGTGACGTATATATAAACACCCACACACACATACTCCTACATACATGTGTTTACATATATACTTACTTATCAATTTTTAGTGAATTCCACTTCTGTAAAGTAATAATACCAAAACTACACTGAAATAATGACCCCTAGCTCAGAATGCAATTTAAGGGATTAATAAGGTTTTAGAGTCACCCTTAAGACTTGATAATTTATAATATCATCAATTTATGTAAGAAACCTAGACATTCTTTGATGTGTGTTATACCTTTAAATTTATTTGAAATGTTTAAGCAAAGTGAAAATTATAGTAATAAAGTAAAAAACAAAATCCAGGAGAATAGAAGATCTTAAAATGAGAAATGAAAAACAGTCTCCTGCTTCACCTCTCCCCACTCAGAATCCCTTTCCCTGGAGGCAGCTGCTTTGCCATTTCTCTTCTGGGCCTTAAATGCAGTTGGTGTGTGTAGCCAGGCTTGTTCTATATGAATCTTACAACATAATTTGTTCTGAAAGTTCTTTTGTAAAAGTCACAGATGTCAAATTTTCAGGTGTAAAATGTCTACACCAGAACACATTTATTTAAACTTTCTTGCTATTGCTATGCTTATTTTTTATATCAAAAGTATAATTTAATATTAACAGCTATGTTATATTAAAAAACAAAACAAACTTTGGCAGGAAATTTCTGTAGATTATGAACAATTATAAAAGACATGGAGTGGTTGTAAAATGAGACAGTTTTATTATAGTGAATGTCCAAAATAACTTAGATTCTATTTATTCAGTGAAATGTTATCAGTTATCATCTGAATTATAAGGAAACACCACATGTTAATTTGAATAATCTCTTCAACTTGCATCTGAATGTTATGTTTATTCTTATGTGACTTACCTAGTTAAGTGAGATTTAAGAAAAATTGTGCTTTTTAAATTTCCATTTTGATATGTATAGGTGTTGAATTGTACTATCACCTCAGTTTCATACAAGACCAAACTAGTTGATAATTTGTGTTTTACTGTCAAGGTGACCATGCTCTTCTGTGTGTCAGAATCAACAACATAGCAGCAGCTGTTGGAAAAGAAGCTAAACTCTACCTATTCCAAGCCCAGGAATGGCTAAAACTGCAAGAGAGCAGTCAAGCTTATAGCTGTAGTGAAAAATTATCCAAAGCTCAGTTGACAAGTGAGTATATCCTTTTTTCTCTGATCATTAGATGTGGTTTTTTTCCTCCTTATTGTTGAGGTAATGTATAGTATATACATACCAAGACCTTTCAAGGCAGCATACATCACATTGTAATGACACTTTGTCTAGTACATTTTAAGCTGAATTTTAAGGAAACTATTTCCTTGTTTAAAAGATAAAATGCCTTTTGACCCCTTTATCATTCACATTTTTGGCAGAATATCCAGATAATTTATAAAGGAGTCCTTTCCTTCATTCAGACTCTTTTTTTTTTTTTAAGTAGAGACGGGAATCTCGCTTTTGCTTAGGCAGGTCAAGCAGGTCGCGAACTCCTGACCTCAAGCGATTCTCCCACCTTGGCCTCCCAGAGTGCTAGGATTACAGGTATGAGCCACCATGCCTAGCCCATTCAGACTCTTTACAGTTTGTATAATCCATGCCAACATTTGGATATGTTTTAACCTAGTGGGCATGGAGTGAATGATAACATGGGTTGAATGCTTGTTATCTGCCAATACTGAGCTAATCACTAAAATGTATTATCTCAGTTAATTGTATAATTTAGCTCAAAGTGAAGCTGTTTTACAGTATGTCGTTGGAACATGAAACTTAGTCACGTGACAAAATATGTCACTTTGGGATGTACCAGTGCCACGTCATTTGTAAACCTCCGGGTTCACCTCTAGAGAGTCTCTACTTTTTTTATCCTAGTCTGGTGGCTTAAATCCATCATCTCATTCATTCTCATCAACATTATCCCCATGCATTAGGGTGTTGGCCATCCAGAGTAAGCGCAAATCTTTTGTAATATAGCAGTGAAGAACATGTGCCATTCTACCCATTTTATCCCTTGGAAATTAATTGGTTGTAGGAGACTTTAGGAATTTGAAGCATCCATGAGAAAAAAATAGGAATTATCCCTCTTCCCTTTTTTCCCTTATTATTCAGAGACTCATCCATACATAGAACATGGTAGGCTCTTCTTTTAGCCTCGTCTGGTAAAAAACTCCCATTTCTAAACATCCAGTCTTGATCTTAGCAGCTGCCTGCTTCCCTCATAAGGCAGCTAGCCAGAACAGAGGTAAAAGTAGTGGTGCCTAATCCTTGCTACTCATTGTGGAGATCTTTTATCCATATATGTGAGAGGACATTGACAGTATGCTGAAGAGGTTCTGAATGACTGGATTCAGATGTCAAAGAGACAGTTACATAAAGTTATTTACTTCAACCCTGAATTTCAGAACTTATCTGGGAAATTTGTGCAAATGCTCATTATTAGTTATCTTGTCCTTTCTGTACCAATTTGCTTATCTAAGTGTTACACACATACTTACATAAAAACTCACATCCTTCAGTTCCCAGTTCTTATAATGTTGAAACCGAACTCACTGTCTTCTCCATCCAAGCAAGCCTGGTCCTTTTCCAGTGTTTCATGTTTCACGAACTAGCACCACCATCCATCCAGTAAACAAGCAAGAAACCAAGGAGTCTTCCAACACTCTCCTCTTTAACCTTTCTAATCCCTTTCCAATCTGTTAGTTAGTCTTGGGATTTTACTTCTAAATATCTCTTGAATTCATCTACTTTTCTTCCTTTCTACTGCCACCATGTTATTCCAAGCTGCCTTAATCTCTTGACTGCTATTTCAGTAGTCTCCTACCTGGCCACTCTACAGCCAGCCATTCTGGTCCCACTTCTGTAACCAGATCTTTCAAATAAACAGCAGATTTGGTCCTGTTACATTCACTTCCTCACCATATCCTTAAAATACTTGAGTGATTTCCCACTGCTCTTAGGACAAACACAGGCCTCCTTTTTTTTTTTTTATTTTTTTATTTTTTATTTTTTATTTCAGCATATTATGGGGGTGCAGATGTTTAGGTTATGTATGTTGCCCTTGCCTCCCCACTCCCCGCCAAGTCCGAGTTTCAAGTGTGCCCATCCCTTGGATGGTGCGCATTGCTCTCTTAGGCCTCCTTAACCTGATCAGCAAAGCCGTCATGGACTGGCTGCTGCTTGTCCTCCAGCTTCATCTCACAGCAGTCTCCCTCCCCATCATTTTATCTGTAGTGCTAAATTTCTTTTCAGTGCTACTCAGGGCCTTGGCACAGGCTTTTCCTCTTTGGCTTCCCCTTTTTGGCTCCTCCCTCCACTAATTTAACACCTTAGTTTTTATAGCCTCTTGCATTCCTGCATAGCACTTATCGTAGTTACCACTTTACATTTTATTTATTTGTTGTAAAATCTATCAGTGAGAACAGTAGGGCTCTGGTCTGTTCATTCACTCATTCATTCCCTGAGCACTTCCCTTGTTTCATGTACTATGCGAGGCACTGATGATGTATCAGTGACAAAATGCTGGCACTCTGTCAGTCCTTAAAGCAAGTAGGGATGACAGAAATGAATCAGATCAAAGTGAATATATGTGAAATTGCAATTGTTGAGTGCTAATTACATGGTACTATGAGAATGAGAATTTATTATACTCTAGTACTTAGTTAAGTATTTACTAAGTATCTGTAGAATGAATAGTCATAGAGCTTAGTGCTTGAGGGCTTTTGGTTGGTAGGTTGTTTGCTTTTTGTGTTTGGCACCTTGAAGACTTTTTCTGTCTCCAGTGAAAAGTTATCAGTCAGTTTAAAGCTTTGAGCTATAAGAATATCAGTTTGTTTTCTTGTTTCACATGGTCGATATTATATCATATACTGTATACACTTGTGAAAACATCATTTTTGTGTCAGTTGTATTCTTGCATTCCCAGAACTTCTGTACATTGGGAGAACTTCTATACAGTATAGTGCAATGGGAAGGCCACAAAGCAGAGTCACTGCTATTTGTAACAAGATCTTGTTATTTTTGAGCCTCACTTTACTTACCTGTACGGGAAAGTTGGACTAGGTTTCTCTAAAGTTCCTGGCAATCCTAAAATGCTGTGATTCTAATTATAACTCTTTAGGATGGACTTACTTATATATAGGACTATAACTTAATGAAAACTCTTGCTGTTGTTGTTTTTCTGTTTTCCCTTCATCTTCTGTAGTCTATCTAGTGCAGGGATATCCTTTGAAATTATGAAATGGAAGATATCAGGGAACAGGAATTTTAGAGGAATGAAGCTTGTTTTATTAGATTTTGAGACCTGAAATAAATAAAGTAGTGATTTCTATGTATTTTCTATATATTTCACCAATTTTTTTCCCAATAACAAAATCCAAATCTTAAGAAAATTTATCTTTAACTTTTATATATTAGTTGTCATTTTTATAGTATGTTGTTATTCAGGAGTTTAAGTGCATTGAAACAAAAAGCATGTCCTAAAATTCATGACAGTATAATAGTACCACTTATTTAAAAATAATTCCTTGTAGGAAGTACATTTCCTGGCTATTAATGAGACTTTTAAGGATGAACAGTGTTTCTCCTATTTGGTAATGAACTCATTAACTTTTCCCAGCTTCTATGTAAAACCCCACTGCTACTATGCACTATGAAAAGACTAGCAGATTTGAAAAATCTCGTGGTGTCAAATGTTGACTTTCCCAAATTAATGTTTGAGAAGTGATTTTTCACTCTTCCTTTGTTCTCTAATATCATAAGACATATTTAAAAAAAATACTAAAAACTACTTTGTAGGTTTTTAAAGCAAGCAAACAAGACATTTAAAAGCACTGAAAATGATGAGTTTATGTTTCTATCTAAAAAAATTTAACAGGGAGATTCAGAGTAATTTGCTATCACATTACAGGAGCTAAACATAACATTGGATATAAAACATTTCAGAATTGTCTTTTTACATCTTATGCATATAATTCCTTTTGTATATTTGGTATATTTTATAAATTGTTTAAAGGTGTTAGTATTTTATTATTGTGTGTTTTGGTTAACATCATTTCCTTTTATAATATGATTGGGCAATTAGCTATTCAACACCATTCTCTGCAATTCAAGTTTTGTTGATATTTGAGGTACTAATTACACCAGTATAGAATGTGCATGCTGTGCTGTAGTCTTTTGTCTCAAAAACAATGAACACGCAGTTTTGTCAAGAGGCTTGCTTTCCAGGCTTGCTGAAAAAGACAGCAAGACAAAAACTAAAGGCCGATATCATTTTATGAAGCATACTTTTCTCTCTGTTTGCTGTAAATCCACATAATTTAAAATGAAACATCAAAAGTGTATTGGTGAAAATATAATGGTTAATTTTTATATTGTTTTATCTAAGAGAAACATTGCAAGTGGTAAAATGGCAACACAGCAGAGCCTTTACATAATGAGGTCCAGATTATGTAATTGAAAGCTGCATATTTAAACAGCCTTATTTCTGAACTATTTATTGATCATATGTTAAATTCTTATTAATGATCTTCAAATATCTAACAAAAACTAGAGTCTTTGCTACATTTTTCCAGAAACTTTACAGTAAAAAATTAGTATAACTGTCAGCTAATTTACAATAGCCAAAAAAGCAATGCTGTGGTATTGTTAACCGAATCCTCTTGTTCAATTTAACTACTACTGAGTGAAATTCCCAGTTGAGCAGTCCAACTTCTCAAAATTTGAATCCTGAGTAGATACATCTGTATCTTATTTATAAAGACAACCTGTAAATAACATTTTCCCAACTTTCTATTAGGAAAATTTTCAAACATACAAAAAGGTTGAAAGTATAGTCCAACTAGCATCTGTATATCCTCTGTTTAGATTCAATAATTGTTAATATTTTCTTACATTTGCTTTTTGTTTGTATGTGGATGAATTTTGTTTTTAATTGAACCATATGAAAATAAGCAGATGTCTTGAACAGTTCACCCCTCCATACTTAAGCATACATCTTCTAAGAGTAAAGACATTCATCTGCATAACTACAATATCATAATTACACCTAAGAAAATGAATAATTTCATAATGTCCTCTAAAATCTATTCCATACACAAATTCTCAGTTACCTCAAGAAATGTCTTTTATTTATTATAATTTTTTTCTACAGTTAAGAAAAAGATGAAGACTAATTTATCCTTAAATATTGCCATATTGGGGGGGAATCTAGAGTTGGGAATTGAGCCCATCATAATCTTATATTTTAAAAATACTTTGTATAGGATATTTTAGGATTTTCACGTACTGTCTCATTGGCTCCTCACAAGAACTCTAAGCTAGACGGGGCAGATATCTCTATTTTGCTATTGAAGAAACAGATTTAGAGAGGTTGTAATTTATTTTCTGAGTCCCGAGAACAAGACTTGCTCTTCTAACTCTATTGGTCTTTTCATTATACCTGGAATTTGAGACACTTCTCTCCTACAGCTTCATGATAGCATTAGTCAGTGCCTCGTAGGCCAGGATCATACTTTTAGATCTGGAAGGGATCTTAGACATCATTTTGTGTTTCTCAAGAGGAGGTGTTTATTGGCATTTTAGGAGGAACAGTTCCTTGTTGTGTGACTTTATCTGGTATTGCATGAGATTTAGCACAGCCCCCTTCCAAGTATCTAAACAGCTATTGTGACAACAAAACTGCCCCCACACATTTTCAAATGCCCTGGAGGGGAACAGATTACCCTGGGTTGAGAACCACTCATTATTATAACCACCTTGTTTTAAAGAAAAGAAAAGGAGAATTAACATTTATTTAGCTTCTACTCTATGACACATACCATCCTAGGTGACTCAGATAACTTAGTCCTTGCATCAACTCTTTGCTGTAGGCAGTATCTTCATTTACTGATAAAGAAAGTGAGAGTCATTGGTTATATAACTTGCCCAAGTCACATAGCAGATAAGTGTTGAAGCCAGGATTCAGACACAGATCTGTGTGATACCAACATTCGCGAGTCTCCCCCACTACCCCACATACTATATCATACTACCTTCTATGGACCTGATCTAGTATAGTAACTTATATATTCCTGTAATTTCTATTTTTCTGCTTTTAGTACCTTTTTTAAGAATAACCAGTCAGAAAAAGATTTTGGAAAATCTTTTGAAAGTATTTGTCAGCCATAGTTTTTAGATATGATGATGTTTTCAGTTGAATGCTACATTTTAAATTTAACTCAAATAATTTTCAAAAATGTTGCTGTGATTGTTACATTGTGAATGTGCTTAATACGGTAGACTGTACACTTAAAAATGGTTAAAACGATAAATTTGTGTATATTAGCATTGTGTATATTTCACCACAGTAATTTTTTTTGAATGTCATTAATGCACTTGGAAACTTTGAAAATATTTAAAATTAAAATTCAAAGTGTAAAATTCAAAGTGTTAGTGAAACTATTCTACTCATTTGCGGTGTTTCATAGTAGTACTTTTATAGTAATTTCTTTGGTTAAAATGCATCATTTCTATCTATTTTACAATTTATAACCCTTATTCCAGTACTACACCAGGGCTTGGATTTCTGAGGCAGTAAAAATTAAGCAAAAGGGTGTTATAACCTGAAATCGATTATATGACTAAAACAATGAACACATTTGAGAGTTTTTCTATGAAAGGTACTATTTGTTTCTCTTTAAAGTGGCCATGAACCAGACTGAACATAATCTGACAGTGTCCCAGATCCCTTCTCCACAAACGTGGCATGTGTTTTACGCAGACAAGTATACATGCAGAGATGACAAGGAGAAATCTCAGGCAGAAGATATCCCATTTGAAATGGTATTACTAAACCCAGATGCTGAAGGGAATCCATTTAATCATTTTGGTGCTGGAGAATCTGGTAAGAGTATCTATTTAAATATATTTTAAATACAGGAAAAGATTTATGCTCAAAAATCTTCATGTACTCTTAGAATATTAAAAATTAAAAACCTATGTGTCCAAAGGTAGGAAAATAGTTAAGTGAATCTTCTTATAGCATTTTGATAGCTGTTAAAAGTTAAAAAAACAAAAATAAGCAGAACACTACATTTTATATTGCATGATTTCAAGTGTATTAAAAAATGTAGAGAATGAAAAACAGAAGTGCAAAAAATAAAACAGGTTGTTTCCATATTCTGGGTGGTAGAGTTGTGTGGATTTTAATTTCTTCTATACATTCTAAATTTTTTGTTGTTTTTATGATAATTTAGCATTATTTTTATAAACAAAAGTGGTAATACATTGAGCAATATAAATTGATAACTGAACAATTAAGTGGGATTAGAAACTGAACTCCTTTGTGTGGCTGACTCTTCATTAGATTGTTTGAATAGATTTAGGGATTGCCTTCATTGATGCTGAACAACCATTTAGGAATAATCAGAGTCTATAATGCTTTCTGGAATCAGATTTACTCCCATAAAATATTCCATCAAAATTTTAGGAGACTATGTTCTACCCTACTGAAGTGAGATTCCTAACCCCAACAGAAATGAATGACTTCTTATGATCATGATAAACATTCTATAAAATATAATAGATTTGTAAATTAACATGTCAGAGTAAGGATTTGCGGGCCATCTGTCAAAGAAAAGGGTTAAGGGTTTACCTCTTCATGAATTCATTGCCCATTTGAAAAAGCCAATCTACTTAGAGAAAAATTCAATTCCATTACATTTCATTGGCCATGAAGAGGGGTAGGTGGAGGTGAGGCAGGAGTGAGGCCACATTAGACTGAACCCATTGTTTAGTTCAAAGTTTAAACTTGTCACAGCTAGAAAAGTAACTCAAGGAGAATGTGTTATAGACAGTAGGTCACAAATAACAATGTATTAAGGGATGAACTTTTTTTCATATCCTTTGGTTTGAAAAACTATACATAGTGACAGAATGGGATACTAAATATTTGTAAAGTAGTAATTTTAAAAGTTCTTTCTGTGAAGGAAATGACATAGTATAAGCTATTCAAGTTGTTTTTCAATGCAGATGAATGTAAATTAGTTAAATTTCACTAATGATACCTTGGGCCAGTGAAGATCATTGTTGGAAGTTAATTTAGTCCTGCCATTTCCTTAATCTTTATAAAAGATGTTGATATTTTGCTGTATTTTGAAAAGAAATTGATGGAACCCAGGTCTACTGACAGCACTGGATTTATGGTTGTACTAAATTCCTTTTAAGGTCCTTTTTAACCGTAAGACCTCATTATTTCATATAACACTTATTTTTAGGACTAGTCAGGGCTCACCAGGAGGTAATGCTCTGCTGCTTTGCAGCTCTGCTGCAAACTCTGCTACCTCTAGTGGAGTCCAGACCTACTAGCCCTTTTCCCTCCTGCCTGCCAGGCCACAGTCCTTTGGCTCAAGAGGTTGCTTTATTGTGTGGCTCCATAAGACTCTTCTGGATCATGATCAGCTTTTTCTTGCCTCCTTACCCAGTCTCCCATTCCTGTCTCCTTCCTCATCCCCTGTTTGGCATGTGAACTTTGACCCCAGGCCATAAATGATCGCATTTGTGCCCTGTGCATTACTTGGGCCACTGAGTGCCAGTCATACCCTGCCTTGTCTTAAACCTTGCCCATATCTTCTAGTGTTTTCCTCAACATCCTGCGTTGTGGCTAGCTTCTCTTTAGGATTCGTGGTAACCATTCTGATTCGGTTTTTAGTCCTGACTCCTTGTGACCTACCTTTTCCAGATTTTGTGACTGATTTTGATTTGATGCTTACTCTTCTGTCTAAAAGCTGTCTTTTTTATACAAAAATGGGGAACATCACATTGGTCATATCACTGACAATATTTAAACAAGGGGCAAAACATCATGTTAATTTTATGTAGTTTCATTAAGCATGAGATTCTGTGCAAGGCTAATCTGTGGGGATTAAATTATTAAAAAGTACCAGAAGTACCCCAAAGTATCAAGCATTGTTATGTGGCTGCCTTAATTCCTAAAGATCACATCATTTCATTGATTAAAATACCCAAACACCTTTGTAATTCTACACTGAAATATAAATCAGTGGCTCTCAACCCATGATTACGTATGCGTGTGGAGAGGTTTTAAAAAAAGCCAGGTGTTCACACCCAGAGACTCAGATTTGGTTTGGAGTGGAAGCCAGGCATTGGTAGCTAATCAAAGCTCTGAAGTTGATGCTAATGTGTGGAACCACTGGTCTAAAAGTCCGTATTCTACATTGTTTTGGTAATGTGTTCGTTTTAAAATAGAACCTTAAGAGGGATTCTTCCTATTCTGTGGCCTCAGGTATGGAATTTGTTTCCAGGGAATAATCTTCAATTAGTTTATTTTAGAAACTTCTGCTAGTTTGTCTAATTTTCTGCTCCAAATAGGGAAAATTGATTTGCTATGCTTTTTACTGAGACTTGACGGTTACCATGTATCTGAGAGGTTTGCATTAGAATAACCTGCTGCAAATAGCCGCAATTAATGTTGCATGTTATTCTGGTTAAATTTTATAATTTGTTTTCTTTCAAACCACTTATGTATTTTATATCTACCAGACTTTAGTTAGTCCTCTATTTTACAGAGTTGGTCTAGATTAAAAAAACAAACTAAAGCAAGTTGAGGCCATTTGACAAAATACTAAATAGGAATATAATGCTTTATGGGGCAATAAAATAAAACTGCTTCTTAAAAGGATTAGAAGCCTTGTTAACTATATTTGTGCTCTTGTTAGAGACCAAAAGAAGTACCAAGAGTCCTGAGAGCATTATTATGTAAAGACATCTAGACCGGTATTCACTGGAATAATATTACAGGCTCTGCCACATTTGCCGTCTCACTGTTTTTAAGATTCCGGCAGATAAGTTAATTCTTTTGTCCCTTTTTTCCTCTCTGTCCCAAAAGATATGGGTTGGATCTTCCATTTAGCCCTCATAACATGTTGGAATGTTTTTGGCTTAAAATAACAGAAAACCCTAATGCAAGTGGTATAGACAATGATGAAATGAATTATCTCATACAACAAGAAGTTTCCAGGCTTCCCCAAGGTGGTTTATTTAGAATTTCCCTACCCTGCTATCCTCTGACTATCAGCTTTATCCTTCAAGTTCAAAGTTATAGCTGCAGCAGTTCTGGACATCACCTCTCAATAATGTCAGAATTCAGTATCTCTTCTTAAGAGGAAGGGACTCGTTCCTAAAAGCTCCCTATCTCATTTCATTTGCCAGATCTGGGTCACATGCCTTTGCTACACAGTATCATAAGAGAAATATAAATTAAGATGAAAGAAAGAAGATATGACAGATGAAAGAAATCTGTCAAAAGAGCTAGGTTTACCTCTTCACTGGCAAGGGAATTAGAATTTCTGATTAATTTGGACTAAGCAGGATATATGTTGACACACGTGAGGGTGGGAAATCATTGGGGCTCTGAGACAAGGATCATGGATAGGCAGGAATGTCTGGTCCAGGTGCTGCCCCGTGACCAAAGACTCTTTCCCCTTACCCTCTTCTCCTCTCCCATCTCCCACCATTTTGCTGGGGCTGAATTTATGGAGTTTGTCCTCTAAGTTTTCTTTCTGCTTAATTTTGCCAATGCTTCTTCCTTTAAGCTTGCCTTAAAATCTGCACATTTCCTTATAGCATAAGTGTTCACCACCTGTTGCGTGCTCATTAAGAGTATTTTTCTTCTTTATATATTATGTTTTAGGTAAAATTTAATACTTAGTTTCCACGTATTTTAAAATTAGATTTTAATTTCCAAGTGAACAAACACAGATTGTTTTCTTGTGAATACTGATGGCAGAACAAATGTAAAATTGGTAGTTGAAGAGAAAAAACAGGGAGACTTTTAGAGATGATTTATTTAAAAGAACACTGAGTGCAGAACCAGCATTTTATCTTTAAAGTTATGTTCAAGGTAAAAATCATTTATCTAAAATTCAGTGAACAAAGTGTGGGACAAATGTCTTAGTTCAGTTCATTTAATATATTACTTCAATGAAATAATTTTTTATTGGTTATAATGTTAGCTTTCTTTGGAAGATACATTTAACCTTGAATAATCCTAAAACATTTTTTTTTTTTGCCGGTAATATATGTCTTGTTTTCAAAAGTTGCTTCCTCCTACATTATTCTGATTCCTCAGTAAATAGTCTGAGGATTTTCTTTTCATGGTGGATTTATAATGTAATGAAGTCTGACACTTTATCCTGTAATGGATATTCTATAAAGTATTATAAATAAATAATACTTTAAATAGAATGCCATGTTTAATTCCTTAATACTAAGAAGGAAAGATAACAACTAAGATTCAAAACAAAGAATTTTACTGACCCACAGTTGTTAATATTTTCTGTCTTGTTCCAGTACTATAATAAACCCAGGATTATTATGCCATTATTTCTAAAGCTGAAATACTTTTGTATGTAAGGAGTTTAAAAAGAAAATATGCTCCTTCCATTATTTGATCTTCCCTTCCTAAAGTCTAAACGTGCTTTTTCACCTGCACTAGAAAAGTGAGCTATCAACATTTATAATCGTAGAGCAGGAGAGACACCCAGTGGCTGAAATACTTTTTGCTACTTTTTTTTTCCTCCTAAGCATGTCAAAAACATGATTGAACTATTTATTGACTGTTTTTCCTATGATTTGTGTCTCTGGATTGCTTCTCCAGAATTATTTTCCACATAATAGAAATATTCCCTTCTCTGACTGTTAACTGGAGTTTACCCAGGTGGGAAACTGGAGCAGGTTCAGTGTTCAACTGGAGTGGAAGTGATTGCAGTTTACACTGTTCATTCACAGACTCAACGGAGGCAGCTTTATTTATACCACAGTCATGGCACTCCAGTGTTAGATAGAACATAAAAGCCTTAGGGACTATCTTGAGATATAACCAAGTAAATATAAGCCATTAAACTCAAAGCGACCCTGCTGCTTTATTATAAACACTTTCTGACATTTCTAGAAAATGAAGACTCAGAAGATTCCGATTTAATGGAGTAAAAGTGGAGTTCATCATGAGGTTACATGAAGACTGTATTGAAAAGCTACTAGTAGAGCTGCTATAATAACTGGCACCATCTTTAATATGAAATCTGCCCATTCTTACTTTGTTCTCTGCCAACCAGCTGCCTTTGCTTACTCAGAACTTTGATTTTCTCATGGCTTAGTTTGACTCCTCTGGCCTATTCGAACATTAACACCTTTTAAATTCAATTTCTATGGCCTACTTCCTTTCCATGTTTTGTAGTTTGAATTCCAAGAGAGAATATGATGAGTCTAACTTATCTTTGAGTAACAAACTTATGTTGTTGGCCACTTGGATTGGTAGCCATTTGGTTAGATGTTATAGTTTCAGTAGACTCTGGAGTGGACTCCATAGCATAGATTTCCTTTTTATTAAATAGCAAGAGCTTCAGAAAGTTTACCTCAGATGGGGGCTCGGGACATGACAGGTATTTTGAAGCTTTATTCCAATGGAAATTCAAGGTAATGGGACATTCCAGAGCTGTGTTCCCACATGTTAACTATATCAGAATCACCCCTAGGACTTACTAAAACACAGCCTGCTGGGCTGCACTCACGGAGTTTCTGATTTGATAGATCGGAAACTGAGTGGGGCCTAAGAATTTGCATTTATAGCAAGTTCTCTAGTGATGCCAGTGGGCCAGAGAGTACACTTGGAGAAGCATTGTCAAGGTATATTTATTATTGACTGAATAAATCTGTTCCTAAACTTCTTACAAAAGAAATTCACTTTGAGGGTAAAGAGTATATCTAACTGAATACTAAAATCATCGTTTTCATTTACTGTTTTCAAATAAAACTGTGATTTTATAGTGAGTCTTTGGGCTTCCCCGACCACTATGCTTTCTTACAGATTGACTTTAATTCGTTTGGTTTAAACTGCCTTCTTATAGTTTAAAATTTTGTCCCAAAGTAGAAAATTGTTTAAGTTTTACCAATTTCCCTTTTTTTTCCCTCTTATGAAAGTAAATACTGTGTCTCCAATTGAAAAACAAGTTCTAGGATTATATTGACAGGAAGATTTGAAAGCAACCCAACACTATAACTGGCTTTGTTTTACTGAAGCAAACTCCCTTTCTTCTCTTCACAGGGTTACATGAGTTCTTTTTCCTCCTAGTCCTAGTGTACTTTGTGATTGCTTGCATTTATGCTCAGTCATTGTGGCAGGCTATTAAGAAAGGAGGACCCATGCACATGATTTTAAAGGTTCTGACAACTGCATTGCTGTTACAAGCTGGTTCAGCTTTAGCTAATTACATTCATTTCTCCAGGTAACTCAAAACCGCTAAAACTGTGTTCATCATTACATCTAATTAATCCTAATTAGTCCACCAAAATTATGCTTGCTTTGATTATGAACACTTTTTTTTGCATTTGTAATTTACACTAATACTTTCCTCTTCAATTCCTCAGTTACTCCAAAGACGGAATAGGGGTACCGTTTATGGGAAGTTTGGCAGAATGTGAGTATCTTTCTGATTTTCTTTTATAAATGTAAACTCGCTATCTGCTTCTTGTTTGGTTCTGTTTTTGTAAATTAATTCAGGTCTATTGAAAACAGGGTTACATACAGATTTAGTTCCCATGTACTGTTTAGTTTCTTAATAATAGGTAATGTGTGCAATTCTTCATTGTTTTTAGAGCATATTTGTATACATTCTCTCATTTTATCCTCAGTAAAAAATAGATATATGTATCCCTATTTTGCAGATAAAGAATCTGGGCTTGGTAACATACAGCACATTTCCAAATGTCAGTCAGCCATTAAGTGATAGAGCCTAGACTCAGACCCAAGTTTTCTGACCCCAAAGCTGAAGTGTTTTCACTATTGTATTTCCATTTTCTCTTACACTGACTTTTCTCTGGTTCTGACCCAAAGCCATAGGGTACACCTATAAGTACACTTATAATTGAGCTGACCTCACATCTATGTTCATTTATTTACAGGTGGAACTCATATGAAGTAATTTTCAATTAAGCATGATAGGAAAAAGTATTTAAAAGGTCCTGTGATTGTGACATTGTAAAGAGAATTTCAGAGGGACATCAAGTCATATGCCATTCTTAATCCTGGAAAACTAAGACTTGCTCTAAAAAGCAGATTCTGAATATGAACCCATTCTAGGATTTACTTTTCTTATATTTCTGTATTTCTCTTCTAGTCTCATCAGCCTTTAATAGGATATTGTATGGGTATCTCTGATAATCATCTCAGGACCCACTCGTCCTGACCTTGCTGCTTGTTTTAAGATTCTAAAACTTCAAGAACCTTATATATTCCTTAGGAAAAGGATGTATACTATTCACTTCTTGGACATGAACAAGATGAGCTTCTCCTTTTTGAGTGTTAGCCAGAGCTCTGGCTTGTCCCTCTCTTCTCTCTTAGATGACTTTCAGATTTAATAGAGTCACAGAATTTTAAAGCTGGACAGAACCTTAGGAATACTTTAGCATATGCATTTTAGAAGAGGAAATTGAGGTGGAAAGAGGCAAAACAGAGCTGATCAGTGGCAAAGATGGTGCTAAAATCAAGGACTGTTGAATTTTTGTGAGTGTCTGCTATATATAATACAGTATTGAAAGCTAAAAAACCCTCTTTTAAAAAAACTGCAAAAAATTGATACTGCTATTTTTTGGTATTTCTGACAAAAGATTAGGTTAGTTAAATGATTAAACTTCAAGACAGAATGGGGTTTTTGTGTGATCAGTATATTTTATCTACAGTTAGTTATTTTTTGATAACAAATGAACGTGTTCTACATATCCAGTTACAGTATGGATCTGTGCATTACTTAGTACATAAAGAAATTCTCCATAAAATTAGGGGTTTTTCCCTCAGGTATTTGTTTTTGCTACTTAGCAACTTATGTAGGAATATTCCCTTGGCTGATTTGTGTAAGTAACTAAATATATATTTGTAAAATGTTTAATAAAATTAAATGGCATCATAGTCATTTAAAATTGATGATGAAAGAAAAGTGTGCTTGATCTGAAAGGCCATGACATTTTACATCATTTAAATGTGGTAACAGTTCATTATCAGAATTCGCTATCACCGATATAAACGCATAAATGTAGAGTGACCAGTTTTAATTTTGATGGCAGAGCAGAGGGAAATCTGTCAAAATATATCTGAAAAGGTATATCATTAATAGGTGTTTGGCTTGAAACTTTTAAATATAAATATTATATTCTATAGATAGTTTTATCTGTTTCTGCAAGAATATCCTTATATAAAAGAAGTAAAAATTATAAACATCAAAATTATAGATGGAAATTTGAAGAAAGTTTTATTTTGTTACCTTAGGATCACAAATTTATTCCAAAATTCACATCAAAATACATTCTGATGAAAAAGTGATAATCTTTTTATTAAATCAATAAATACAAGCTTATAAAATAAGTATGCATGGAACTTGAAGCATTTGTAGATTTTTGTTTTCTTGAAGTGCTGACCTGGATACAGGTGGTTTTGTTACATCCCTTTTAAAATAGCAGTCATTCTGTGCAGTGTCAGTGCTGGCCACCTGGTGGCACATCACACTAACACATGGAGCTTTTCATTTGTCTTCAGGACTCTGAAACTAAAGCCAACATAATTGGATGTTACAGTGGTTATGCATTTTATTGTGTTGTTTCTTATCAATAGTTTTAGAAAATCTTCACATTGTAGTTCAGCCATCACACACACATACACAAACAGAAATGAAGGTACTGGTATTCTTTACATTGCGGAAATTATATTTAAAATTTGTTTCTTTTAATATACAATGAGTTCTAGAGAACAGGATTATATAGTTAGAAAAGCTAAGAAAAATGGGAAACAGAGATTTAAGGTTGGACTTAATAGAGATATGATACGGGCATATTTGTATTTTAAAATAGGGGTATTGCCATTGTTTTAACTATTTTTTATAAATATTTACAAATTTTATGGCAAAATTTTAATTCTTTAGAATTATTATTCTTAGATATCTCTTATTGAATTTCCTCAGCATCATTTTGAAAATGCTGACCTTCTTGTGGTTAAAACAAATGATGTTGTCATCTCAATGCAAAAACTACTACACTGTTTATATGGTGAAAACTTGATTGACTTTGGTTTTCCTCTCCCATTAGTTTTTGACATTGCTTCCCAAATTCAGATGTTGTACCTACTATTGAGTCTATGCATGGGTTGGACAATAGTCAGAATGAAGAAGTCTCAAAGCAGACCTCTCCAATGGGATTCTACCCCTGCATCCACTGGCATTGCAGTATTTATTGTCATGACACAGGTGAGTGTTAACACTCAGTGTTTCTGCTTAGCAATATTCAGAAATGCACATTTGAACACACCTCATTTCAAAATTGAAACCTGAGACCCATGAGGAATTTGTATCATTCTGAAGTAAACAGTGAGAGATAATCTCTTAATCTTCTGGGTGCTAGTATGTGTAGACTGTAAAATTTAACTGTAACTTACCTGAATATGAGCTTCCTATTAGCTTATTTAAGCACAGTGTGTTTAATGTTAGGTTAGATTCTCTTTTCCTACTGTAGCTTTCTTTCATATTTTCCAGCTCATGGTAAGTATTCAACATTGAATGAGTGATTCAGTGAATTTGAGATTTATCCATTGTCAAGAATCTTTAAGATTGGCTACTTTATACTTAAAAGAATTCAAGTAATTATCTGAGATTAATTAAAAGGCAAAATATAGACCAAAAAAGAATGAGATCTTATTTTGAAAAACAAATCTGCTTTACAAAAACAAATCTGGTCTTTTCTAAAGGTCCTCTGAGTCTTTTTTTCTTTTCTTCTATAGTGGTAGTATTGACATTATTCTTGGATATCCATATGCCTATGTGCAATGGATTTTTAAAAATTAAGAAGAAAGAAAGGTATAAACATAAAAATTCATACTGAGATTGTGACCAGCATTAGCTATAAGTGGAAATAAAATACTTACCTGGGCTCTGTAAAGGATATTATAATGTAAGTTTTAATGCATGAAATAAATTGAAAATTTGTTAATGAAGGGTGGGGCCAGTGCTTTAGTCTTTATATCCCTAATATATACTTAGTACTGTAGGTACTAAGTATTGAGTACTAAGTATTGAGTTTACCTGATTTATTGGGAAAGAGACCGTATCACAGGGGGTGATACTTAAAAAGGAGGTAGTAGTGCCAGGAAAGGGGCTGATGAGAAGGAATTGAATTGAAAGTGAACCTTAACAAGAAGGTTAGGATTCCACCAACTTACTGTTTTTGATCCAGGACTAATAGAGACTAGTGTTAATATCAGGTTAAATTCTCATTTTTCAGTTAATAGCTCTTTTTAAAAATTCAGTTTTGATTATCATTTCAGTATAATTTTAATTCATTGTCATAGACCAATACAAATTGAGAATTGAGATTTTGACACTGCACTAGAGTTAAGTGAGCATTTATGAGGATCACATTAGACGTAGCCTTGATCTGCAACAACAGCCCAGATAAGGCCGATGATACAGGCAACCAAAGACTATATAAATAGATACGTATTTTACACAGATCACATGTTAGCATATGTATTTGAAAATGGGGGGGTTTCAATATGTAAAAATGTGAATCATGGGATATGAGAGTTCTATCTTCTATGTTGCAAAAGTTAAGAAATGTAGGTTAGGGAATCAGATGGGTATAATTTGGTGGAAAGGAGGAATGACATTTTCTGTATAGGGCAACTATTGAGCCCATGAAGAAAATTTCATATGTCAGGATGACAAAGGAGTTTACCTACCTAGAGTGGTAGTAGGAATAAAATTAGGGCATAAAATGTGAGAATGAGGAAAGAAAGAGGTTGCTGGTAAACCTCATAAAACCTAAGAATTGGATTTAATATTGAGTTTTGATCTCTTCTAAAAGTCCTTGAAAGTCACTGTAGACTCAATTCTGAGGGTTGAGTTGACAAATGAGGGAGGTGCAGAGAGCTACAGACGTGTGTGATGGTAAAAACAATAATTTAAATGATTGATGTTCAGTAAAGACAGAAAGAGCATGGACACTGATTTCTACTGAAAAACAATAAACAGAATAGCTTAAAGAGGAACTTGTTGAGTTTTTACTACTAAATATTAACAACGTGGGAGAAAAGGTCAGCAAGCAAATAAGAATGAATAACAGTGCCCTGAGTGCTTATTGTGAACATTAAAAATATGTTCTCCTTTACCCAGGGAGGTTACCATGACAAAGAGTGAAGTCTGAAATTAACAATTGTGACTTGTTAATTTTGGGATTACACAAGACACCGAAATATTTGAAAGTTACCCTGAGATAGTGGGCTTGAATGCAGAACTGTTTGATTTCTTATGATGGCGTTGAAGGAGATGGATTTAGAAGAAAGTTTATGTTTGTTCTCTTAACCTTTTCCATTTAATTTCATCCTTAGAGATATCTTATTTGAATCATGATATTAATAGCAATAGAACTTTTTTTTAATCTTTGAGTATGATCTTAATACTTGATAAAAATACCTTTTGTCTAGCCTTAGGGTATTAGAGCACTGAAAAGACTGTGCCTGTACTTTATTAATTGACAACTTCTGTACTCCGATAAATCTTAGAACCACTTAGAAATGTTATATAATATTTAAGGGGATATTTATAAGAGTTTTAAAAAAGTACTTTAATCGTAAGTAGGTATGATATTTTTTTCCTCTAAATGTAATATTATTTTTTGCAGAGTATTTTGTTACTTTGGGAACAGTTTGAAGATACCAGTCATCATAGCTACCATTCACACCACAACTTAGCAGGGATCCTTCTCATCATTTTAAGAATTTGCCTCGCGTTGTCATTAGGCTGTGGACTCTATCAGATCATCACAGTGGAGAGGAGTACACTCAAGAGGGAGTTCTACATTACATTTGCCAAAGTACGGGTTTGGAAAGAAAGCGCCTTCTTCCGATTAGCAGCATTGTTCTCATTTCTTTGGGAAATTAAGAAATAACCAGGTGCTAACATTTTAAACTTTCATTATGTGCCAGGCACTACTGTAAGGACTTTATGTGCTTCAGCTCATTTAACCTTCACAACTTACGTGATGTAGGTATTATACCCATTTTCCATGTACTCTTTGGCAGGTCAGTTTTGCTTGGTTTGTAATTCCTTATCAATAGGGATTTTACATTTTTCTGTAGCATCACAATTTTTAAAAATTTTTTTAATACATTAGAATATGGTTTGCATTTCTCAGCGTTTATTAATTGGCTATGAACTGTTATTCTCAGAGTTATGCAATGTTTTATAACAAACTGTGAGGAGCTATCCTTCAGCATTAAGGAAATGCAGCCAGCAGGCTGAGCACATCTGTTTCAGCCAACTTTACTCCTTCCACATGAGATCATGTTCACATTATTTTGCCTTTTTATGTCTACGCTAGTGAGATCTCAAAGCAAGTTTGATTTTTTCTATACCCATTTAGTAAAAGAAAAGATCAGAAGAGTAGGTGGAGCAGTAACATTACAGAAACCTCCCTCCCTAGAAGGTTCTGTTTTCCTGTCAGATTGAGAAAATCCATATCCCTTCATCTTAGCAACTCAAACCAGCATTGTACACATCGTTCAGTCAGCCCACACTAGTCCACAGAATCGATGACCTTCCGAAGCAATTGTGGAAGGAGGGCCCAGTTCCTTCCTGTTCCTAGCATCGAGCATTGCAAAGCTGCTGCTGTGGCCCTAGGAACCAACGTCAGCCTTCTGAGCACCAAACAGACAAAAAATGCCATTGCGATTTTGAATTTTTCACAGGAACAGGAGTGCTTATTGTTTGATAAGTTAGTATGTATTTGAGGTGTGTTTGTATTTGAGACACCAAGTTTTCCTCTTTCGTTTCATGTTTAAGCAGTACCAAACTTTTTCTTGAACTTAAAAAAGTTATGTTTTAATATAACTTTCTGAATAGGGTCAAACATCCAGAAGTATTTAAAGAGTAACAAAAAGTGTTTAACTCCCTCCCATCTACTCAGTTATCAGCAGCTCCTCATATAATCGCTGCTATTAGTTCCTAATTTATCCTTCTAGAGAAGAATACATTTTTAATATATTTCTGTATATGTTTCCCTCCATTTTTTTATAAATAGTAACATACTAAACATATTGTTCTACATTTTGTTTTTTTCTCTTATATCTTCAATGTGTTAATACCAGGCATCTTAACAGCTCTTATTTATTAACTTATTTTTTTACTTCAAATTTAATTTTGGAAAAGAGAATACATTGCTGTGGTTCAAAGAAAAATAGAAAAAGATATTTGAAAAGTATAACACAGTTTCCTTTCCTACCTTCCCAGTTCCCCCTCCTCTATCCTACCCTTCAAATAGGTAACCACTATTAATGTCTTATGTATTCTTACAGAATTTCTTTGTGTATCTACATGAAAATATGAATGTACATTCTTATTTTTTTCTTTTTACAGAAATATTACACATTTGTACCTTGCTTTGTCACTTATTAATTTGTTACTTATATTAATGTATTTCTAGTATATCAAAATGTATATATATAACAGATTTATAAATATAAGATCATAAATACTCCAAAAAAATACTAATTTGGCTAGAAACAAAATATTAATGTCACAGCAACAGTAAATTTATTTCTACATTTTATTGCAAGCTTTACTCTACAGGCCAGTTAAGGTTAATCAGGACGTAAATATGCTAGTAGCGTTTTTTGTCTGGTATATTTTGAAAGTAGACCCAGCTGTACTTATTTGACTTATTTATTTGTTTCAGGGCTGTATCTTGTGGTTTTTATGCCATCCAGGTCTTGTATGCATTTCTATCATTTTTAGTGACTACCAAAGAGATAAGGTAAGTAATATACATGCTCAAAACAGTTTTTTTTAAATGAAAATGTAGTCTTTATTGGAAAAATATTAAAATAGAAGGGGCCTATTTATTCAGAAGTTCCTTGAGTTCTTTAAAACTTTGAAACAAAATGTTAAACCAATAAGTATATAAATTAGAAATTTAAAATATAAAAGAATTTTTAAATATTTAGTTTATATGCAAAATGATGGAAATAGCTTTTGTTCCAATGTTAGCTTATTTTAGAATACTGTTTTATAAATTAAATTAGAGAATTTATAAAATCTTTGTTAAGAAAAAATGATTAAAAATTTTTGCTACATAATAATAAAAATCAGGATAGATTTATAAAAATCAATCCAGTTGCTTTAACAGACTACAGACTGGCGTGCCACACTCAAGTATGCCGCATTTTGATTCTGTTGACACCTACCTTCTTAGGTGAATAGCTCCATCATTTCCAAGTGGAGTCCTGCCAGGAGCCCTTTACAAGCAATGCAGTATGTGCTCGAACGCACAAATGTTTATTGAGGCTGCGCGGTATCTACAAAGGGTAAATAGATAGAAAGGTAGTCTACAAAAATAGAGAAATGCGGATTTTTTGAAAGGGCGTTTAAAGTACCCTTTAAAATTCAGATAGGAGTATGCTTTATTCCTATTACTAAATTAGCCAGGAACTTGATTTTTCTTATAACTTACTGAAACTCCTGTCTGTAGTGTGCACACCCATAAGAGAGAATGGTTTAGCAATTTTTTCCTTTGTGTCTTACTTTGGCATCTATAAACTGTTAAAGGAATTTTATCCTTGAACAATTATAGTTCCTATTGAAAATTTTTTTAATAAAATGTACCCATGGTAAAGATGAAAGATAGGAGCACTATTTATATAAAAAGCATTTATAGGTCGTGATAAATTGAATATAGTTTCTCTGTTCCGCATGCAGTAAAAGCATTCCCTTTCTTTTCTTTTCAGGTTGTTACAATAGGTGTTATCCTTTGCCAATCTGTTTCCATGATTATTCTCTACAGACTCTTTCTGTCCCACAGTCTATACTGGGAAGTTTCTTCACTTTCCTCAGTGACACTACCACTGACCATATCATCTGGACACAAAAGTCGCCCTCATTTCTGATACTTGATTTTTATTGAGAGGAAAAGTGAATTGGTTAAAAGAGTGCAATAAGGATCCAAATACAGTGACTTTTTTTTTCATACATTTAGTATGAAAAATTAAATAGCGAAAGCAGAGCATATTATTTATATAACTGCATTTAAGCAGTACCAGAACTGAAAAAAGGTAATAAGTGAAATGTTTCGAATATACTTAAACAATAAACTTTCAAGAAAAAGTGTTGTTATAAGGTAATGAAGCAATTTCTATATGGAAATAAATGTGAAAAAGAATTATATGATATTTTGGTAAAATATTCACCACTTATAATGCCTCATCTTCTATCAATAGCTAACTCAGGTTTGATAGTCTTATAAAAAGTAATCAGTTAAATGATTACTTACTTATACATATTAAACTAGTCCAGTTATGAAATCAGTGTAATATACTGATTTTAAAAACTGCATCTTTTTTATGCTTTAAGGAAAATGCATTTCATATTAGAGTAAAGGAATTGAAACTGAAATTACTTCAGGAAATGAATATAAAATATGTTCACAGTTTAAATGAATATGCTTTTGTTTATTTGTGGGTGGATTATTCTATGTTTTTTTCTATCATTTTTGGCCCTAGTTCAGGTTTTAGCTTGATTAGCAAAGGGCTTTTGACAAATAGTTTATGAAAAATAAAACTTAGATACATTTCATGGATTGTAAGGACAAAGGATTTTAAAATCTGAGCACTTAGGTGAAGGGACAAGCAGGTTTATGTGTTTGAAAAGAAAGAAGGAAAAGGTACTATGTGATATGGTACTAAAATTTTAATCCCGATATAATTCATTTCTCTTACATTGAATCCCCAATCATAATTAAGCCATATACACAGATTAAATTAACAGAAGCATTTCACATAAATGTTGGTTTCAGTCATCAACTACCCATGAATTACTGCCCAAGGATACTTAATCAGGATTAAATTTTCTATGAATAATTGAAAAACAAAATACTCACTGGATTTGTTATAATCCGTATTGGCACTGGATTCTAAGTAGTTGCCATCTTGAATCCTTTGTAATAAAGCCATATTTTTGTATGTGTGTGATGCCCCAGTATTGAGTATGCTAGCTAAAATCAAGTGCCTGGTTGCTAAAAGGTGGTCCATACCTGCTGAATAAAACGAGTACTTCCATTAATAGTCACTGAGTGGAAATTATTCTGTTGTTGTTTGTCAAGTTATTCAGGTCTTTTCATTTTTACCTCTGGCTTATTTAAAAAAATTTTTTTTTTTATCTACTTACTATGTTTTTAAGCAAGAAATGATGCACAGTCTGGTAATTAAACTTTTTAAGTAAATAGTTAAAATAATGTAGCACAACTTAAAAATGTCTATGGCTTTATCTTTGTTTTTCTCTTGCACCTAGTGTCATTGGAAATGAATAGTATTCTGCTTCATTTTAAGGGCAAATATGTGTGTTTGTGACTAGCAAAATGGCAAAGTAACAAAGTTCAGCCTGCTCATTAAATCATCTCTCTAATAGTTCCTTGTAAATCATTTAATAAATGAGAGCTACAGGTTAAGACTAGAAAAGTATGAGGTATGTTTTAGGTTTACATGATCTGCTGAGTGGTCATAACCTTTTTCTTTTATCATGTCTCATTAATAGCCCCAGGTATTGTCTGTTGTGTTCAAATGAGGTGCAGTTAATTAAGTTAAAAAAAAAGGTGAAGCCTTTTCATAAATTTTGTGAACTTGCAACAATGGAAAGGGAATAATCTTTGTGTTATTTTATTCAAAGAACACAGTAACTGTAATCAACGTATCTGAAGTTTATTACTATGCTTGCTTTTATGAAACTTGAACAGTTCTTTTACTTTAATTATTTTTTAATTTATGGTTGAAATTGCTGATAATTTATTTTGTTATTCAAGAGCCATTGTTATATGAAGGAAAACAATTGTTAATAAATGTATAAAACTGCTCTTGATTAGTAATTGAGGACACAATTTATAGTTCGTAAGTCATGACGCAGTATCCCCTCTTTTTCTCTTTCTGAATGTTTACATGGAAATTCATCGCTGAAGATTATAGAATGATAAGTGTATACTGCAAAATCTAATTAAAGATAAAAACTTTACTACTTTTCTTCCTCTATCAGATAATGCTTTTTTAATCTTTTTCATTTTTTTGTTAAAAAAGATAAATGATCCATCCAGAGCTCTTTTTTTTCCAGAAGCATTTCTTTTCTTCCCTTAAAAAAATGCAGCTGTTTATTTCTATTGACATATAATAATACGAGCGCCTACTACGCATCAGGCACTTTACCCTCATTATCACTGAGCCCTCCTGTGATAACCAGGCTTCCGCTCAGCTAACTGTAAGAGAGAATAAATGATTCCTCTAAGGTCACCCAACTTTTTAGTTTTTCTACTTTACCCTCATGATTTAATGAGCACATATTAGGTGTCTATGTTTTAGTGAGCATGAAAGGCTCTCCATAGTTAATTTTAGCTGTTGATTTGAACATTAAACCTGGAATTGTGCTGAAATCAGAAATGAGCTTGAATATCTATAAGACCTCAGCACACTTTACCATTGGAACCTGGCTTTCAGCCAGATGGTGCTAGCAGGGATTGTTAATCTAGGCAGAAGAGCTTGCTTTAGGGAAATTTTTCATGATCTCAATTAAAGTAAGCCAAGTCTGATGAAAATAGAAGATACACAAGTCAAAGGTCAACTCTAAAACAATGAGACTAGAACCTGTACATCAGCATAAACATGAGCCTCTTCAGCATGTTTCTCCGAGGAGACTGCACATTCTCTGGAAATTCTTTGGAAATCTGGAATTATTTGTGAAACATTCTCTTAAATAGCTTCTGTGGTGTCAAATCTCTGAGGTGGTTGGTTGTTTCTGAGAACTGATATGATTGTTAGAAATAGCCTATCGATTGGAGGCCAAATAGGAAGAGGTAATGCCATTTTTTTCTTCTAACATGAATTTGTGAATTGAGATTAAAATAATGAGATTGGTATTCCTATGAGATCTGAAAACTAGTGTGGTGGAAGCACTGTAGCTTGAACTCTTGCAGTAGCTGCGTAAGTATATAATATTACTGCTTCCACACTTGGGCAGCCGTCTGCACAGCTCCGAGAGCATCGTGTGCGTTAGGCTCTAGGAGTGCCATGAAGCCCGGAGCTGGGGAAAGAACCTGTCCTGCCCACTATGGCCATTGTCCTCAATGCAGCCAAAACAATCTCTTAAAAATGGAAATTATCTGGATGATGGGCGTACAGGAATTCTTTGTGCTAATTACAACTTTTTTGTAAATTTGGAATTATTTCAAAATAAAAGGTTTAAAAAATATATAAATCCCTAATAAAAACTCTCTGTTTGTCTCCCATTGCAGTTAGAAGAAAGAAGTCCCTGCTCATTGCTAGGTTCTTCGTGGCCCCATGTGATCTGGTCCCTGCCTTTATCTCTGATCTTACTTCATACCACTCTCCCTCCCACCATACCCCGACCTTATTATCCTTATTAGTCAAAAAATATCTAGCTTATATCACTGCTTCAGACCTTTGGCACTAGCCATTTTCTCTGCCTGGGATATTGTCTTCCAAATCTAGGCATCATTGCATGGCTGAATCCTCATCCTTCAGGTTCTCATCACAAATGTCTTTCAGAGATCTTAGACCATCTATGGTGGATTTATATGGTGCCAGTTTAGTCAACTTGGAGATATGTTCCCTAGAATTCCCTGCATAGTTCCAGGACAGTGTGGGCCATAAGAAGTGTTTGATACGAGATGTAGAACACAGGAGTAAAGTAGCAGCCAGATCCAGATTTCTTTTATAATTGGAAGGTCCACGCAAGGCACGAGGCACTGTTGCAGATCACCCACATTGTTGCTTACCTGTTGGATCATCTTCTTGGCCTATGGGACAACAGCCAGGCCTGCAGGAACACCAGCTCTTGCTGGATCACTTCCTTGACCTTCTCTGACTCCTGGGCCAGGTGTATCTTTCTCTGTGTGACAGACGGTGCCAGCTTCTGCAGGACGAGGCGGTGAGAGACTGGTGTGAGTTCCAGTCCATCCTCACAAGTTCCACTCAGCCCCCTTGGGTTCTACTCATCCTAGCAGTTTTCCTGCTTCTCCCGTTTCCCATCCATCTTCCATTCCCAACTACCAACACAAAAGTAACATCCTTCTATAATCCCTAATTTTAAATATTGTAGGGATGTGTGTCTGTGTTATATCCTAGTGGTGTTTTTGGGGGGGCTTTTTGTTTTTGTTTTTTGAGACAGGGTCTCACTCTGTCATCCAGGCTGCAGTGGCCAGATCATAGCTTACTGCAGCCTCAAACTCCTTTTAAGCAATCCTCCCGCCTCAGCCTCCCAAGTCGCTGGGACTATAGGCATGTATCACCATGCCTGGCTAATTTTAAAATACTTTGTAGAGATGGGGTCTCACAATGTTGCCCAGGCTGCTGTCAAACTCCTGAGCTCAAGCAATCCTCCTTCCTTGGCCTCCCAAAGTGTTGGGATTACAGGCGTGAGCCAGCCTAGTGATTCTTCTTTTCTGATGAGACCCTGACTGATAGACCATCCTGTCCAATGCTGCTCCCCCAGTCTAATTGCTCTGTCACTTTGTTGTTGTACTTAACTGCTTCATCTTTTTTGTCATTCCCTCTCCAATTACAAAGTAAATTCTAAGGGAGGTTCGCCATTGTCTGTATTGTTCATTGCTGTATGCCTAGCACCTGGAACATTCCTGATGCATACTAGATGCCCCAAAACATTTTTGAGTGAATGTATCAAAGCAATTTTGAAAAAGTTGCAGATACATAGCATTGGTTAAATAATAGGGCTGCCCATAGTGACTTCAATAATGCTTTGCCTGTTCTTTGTTCAGTTATATGGAACTTGGAAGTGTGTAAAAATCTTGAGTAGTCAAGTGGTTTTTATAAGTCTAATCTAAAACTCTTCAATTAGGAGAGGATTTCTCAAGTTGTGACAGAGGCAGTTTCCCTTTATTTTATGTAGTACTGCAGTAGGACCATGTGTCTAGTTTCTTAGTCCACCACAACTATAAGCAACAATTTAAAAGAGAGGTTTGAATTAGCTAGAGGAAGGAATGTTGACGGTAGTCAAGAAGCAGCTGGGAGAAGACAGGAAAACTAAAAATGGTATTAACACTCAAATTGCAGCAGCCTGGGGTCATTTAGTGTGGATGAAAACAGCCCTGTGTGTCTCAACAGATTCTTAAGAGCTTTATTGTTCAGTATAATTCATGAC